ATTAATGGTCATTGTCATTAGTCATAAACCCACTCGATTCGTGGACACTTATTTATGATAGAAAGACAACTGGTTCTACTTTTTTGATGGAATAACTAAATATTTACTATTGTAGTACGTTCTTTATGAAATTCTAGTATTTTTTTAAAATATTGGGCATAACTTGTACTTCAGATGTTTTAACCACTGCCTTAAGTTCAATTTTGAAAATTCTATATAATCAAGAAATCAAGGGTTTTAACTTTATAAAATATAATCGAAATCAATAGTCTATTTTTTATATATCAAAACACTCATTTTGATCTGACTCGTATATATTTACACAAAATATGAACCATGACTTCCTAAATATTTTAAGAAATCTTCATCTCATTCATCGTTGCCAATTTATATACCAAGTGCCAAATAAAAATATTTTTTTAAATTTTTTTTAGTATAAAAAATAACTGATTGTAAGTTTGAATAACTACCTGATAGTATATGGTATATAAGTAAAATAATCACACATTATTTGCAAGTGCCAGTCTAATGTAAAACTGATTTAATTCAAATAAAAATTGCACATTTGGAGATTTAAGGGTTTGATATATTATTTTCACGCTTTTTGTTAATTCATCAATTTTTAATTTTTAATTACGAAACAGAATCCGAACAATCATTTTTGGCATAGATTTGTATGGTACCTACTTTCCCTCAAAAATTAATGTAATTAAGTGTAAGAATCGATCAATGCATATTCGAAGCTTTCTGAATCGGCTGATCCATTAAATTTGTAGACAGTTTGGGTTTTTAGAACCTACTAAAAGATGCTTCTAAGCTTGAGTAATTCATAATCATACTTTCGGCAATAGATGTAAATACCTATTGAAATTCATTTCTCCCAAGGTAGATACAAAGCCAATATTTTTTATCAATAACAAGAATCGTTGTCTTGCGGTGCGGTGAATCCAAAGTTTATTTATATCTTTTTTATAAATCCCGATTTTCAACTACACTATGGAAAGACGGCGCAAAATCCTCTTAAGGAAAAACGAAAACTCCCCTTACACGCGATCATTCAAATTATAAAAATTGTTATATACACTTATAAATTAATTTATTTTTATTGATTAAGTCGATTATTTACACATATCGGGAAGTTCATGTAACTTGCCTCAAGGCAAAATACCAATACCAACTAGTTAAAAAACTCATTGAACAGTGTAATAGGAGTACCATTTATCCAACGTTGGCAAACTTTTTCATCGTACCCCTGTGTGCACCTGAGTGACTATTTCACATATCTGTAGAAGAAAGCTTCACAAAGCTCTAGAAAGCTTAAACGATCATCTGTTGAAAAAGCTCGCGGGAAAATATTATCCATCGCATTTTTACGACACGTTTGCTTGGTCGTTAACGCGGTTTCGATTTCGATAAGAAGATAGATGAAAAATATTTTATGGTGTTCTGCAGTAGTAAGATTGTCGGCAACGCTCGTTCACTAATTGACGTCACTGTTCCCTTTTATCTTTTAACACTTTATAAAATGAAAAACGTATGAGAACAAGTTATCCATGTAGTATAATATCTTGACTAATGTCTTATAGAAATAACTTTTATTCAACAATTTAATTACACGAAAATAACTCGACTAATCTTTGTCAAAAATTAATCACTACAGTTTATGAATTTTCAAAATCGGTTTAGATTTTTCGACAAAAACTTATTCAATTTTCTTTCAATTCTAAAGTAACAACTCAGCCAATAATCTCGATAAACTGAACGAGTTTAATGAGTTTCATCGAATGACTGATAAAATTTTGAAATCGGTTCAGCCGTTTATAAAAAAAACTTTGACGAAAAGTCTATATCGACTCGTATACATAGACATACTTTTCCAAATTTGGACTCAAATAATTGGAATGAAAAAATCATAAAAATAGCAAGTTTTTTCGTGAAAGCGAACATATTCGGGAAGTGAAAATAGCCAAAAAGTCTAAGTTAAATCTCTAATATTATATAATTCTATAATTCTGCAGAATTTAGGTCACACCATTGCACAAGTGACATGTGTCCTTTCTTTTATTTATCATGCACTAGTTTTTTCTCGACACAATTGAAGAATGCACCTGATACTATGTAATAATTCATAGTTATTTACAAGTGCATTTTAACCTCTCATGCATTCTCATCTCATCATAATAAACGTCGTCCTTTAAAATATTTATGTATTCTTTATATAAAATATTTTTATTTTCTATGTTAGATTAACATTTTATCAAGGTAAATATATTTATGATTAATTTTTATCTAAATATTGATTAATGCGAAGGTTTCAGGAAGATCCAATTAATTTTGGATGGTGGAATGTAGAAGGTGAGCTTGGAAAGTTATGCAGTAACCCGGTAATTATTCAATTAATTTTAGCTATCGGTAATATTGATTTTGATAGTCTGCGATAATATAATTTGCGGCAAACTTGATTAAAATGTACTAAAATTGAATGCCATTACTTGATCTATTTTATATGCTCCTGAAATTATTATTAAATACTCGAAAATTGGACCAAAGTCAGAGATATAGTTTCAACCGTTCAACAAATTGATTCAACAAGATTTGAAATAAGCCAAGAAAACTAACTTAATAAAATATTATGATTTATTACGAAGTTGCTCTATCATTCATTAAAACATGAAGTATATTCGAGATGGATGTAATAAAAGTTTTAAAACTAAATTATTCTTTTCAAGTACCAAGGATGACTGAAGTTGTACAATGCTGGTTCTAAGTATGAGCAAGGCATTTTATGGAAGAAGAGATCTCAATTCAATTGAAAATGATAAAGAATGCATTTTATGAGGTTTTCGATTTAGTATTATTTATCTAATCTAATTTGTAGAAACATTGCGATAAAAGTTCTCAAACAAAACCATTTGCAAAATACTAATTACTAGTATGTATATAGTTTTAGTAAAACTGAATTAATAGCCTCTTTTTGTTCTTCATAAGTTATGTAACTCAAGTTTTCGTAATTATAATTTTTTCTGCGAATTAAAATTTTAATCTAGTACACAGTCGAATCAACAAACAAACAACTGACAATATAGCAAAATAAATTCACAGTTTATAATAAATTTATTTTGTTTGTACTAAATTTATGTTTCTGTACTAGTCTGTTTTAATCAACTCTAAATTAACTAAGTATTTTATTTCAATGGATTCCAATGATTCCAAAAAAGAATCTGATGAACTAAACTTTCATGTCATGAAATATTTCACCTATTTGGACAAAAATTTTGTAATGAAGGAATTAGGATTAAATAAAGTTGATGCAGAACAACAATTTTCAGGTTCTGAACATGCAAAAATAGAAGAAAAAAACTGTTTGGATGATCTGGTAAAAAGCAAACCCAGAGAACAAGGAAAAGGTAAATAATGAAAATATAATATATAAAAGCCAAAGTTTGATACATAATTTTTGTGGCATTTTATAATGACATTACACCATTTTTATAATAAGTGTGTGAAAGTTTCAACATATTATTAACATTGTGCACATGGTTTAAGTAGGACTTCTAATAATTTCCCTAAAATCTATACCCAAAAATTTTATGACAAAATTAGCGTTTTATTCATATATTCAATTAATTTAGATTGAATTTATTATTGAACAATATATTGTGACTTAATTATTATTACTATTACTATTGTTTTATTTCAGAAAATTTTACTCCCTCATTCATCCCAAAGTCAAATGCGTTATTGGATGCAAAATATATGGAAGTGCTAGAATTTGCCCTCATTTTGGAGTTATTTATTGAAATTTATACAAAACATTACGAAATCTACATGAAAAAATATGATAATGGTTCTATTAAAAAACGTTTAATTGATTTGGGAGAGTTGATTGGAAAGCAACTAAAAGAAATAGTTAAGCTGGAGGAAACAATGAATTGAGTATTACTTGAATTTGTTTCTACAAGAATTTTTTATAATTATCTGGTGTATAAATTTTGATAAATTTATATTTATGCTCTGTTTTGAAAAGGAAATAAAAATTTAATAATGAATTGAATGATTGTTTTTGTTTATAAAATATGTTAATTAGCTGTAAAATCAGTGACACATATAGTTTGTAAATTATAATACAATATTCGGAAAATTACCAAAAAATATTTAAAATCATTTAAATTAGACCAAGTAATTACAAGCATTTTATTGTGATTTTCATTAAAAAATTAAATTCTTTGTAATAAATAATATATATTGCCTAAGATTGTCTTTTACAGACATGCGAGCGTTTTCAGAGATCCAATAAAAAAAAAAGTAAAAAATAATGTCATTTGACGGTCAGAAATGATCATTAGACATATGCACATCGTATTATCAGACATTTTATAAAGATTATGATAATAAGTATAAGATTTGTGTACCAATATGGGTTCTGTACCAATGTTTACACGTTAGACGACTCTGATATTTCGACTATCAACTATGCAGCGCGTTTGCTTGAAATAATATTCAAAATTTTCAAAAAAATCAAAATACAAAAAAAATCAAAATATAAAAAATAAAAAAATTAAATCATTTTCTCAAAAGTATCCAAATTTCTCAAAATTCTAATTTTTTCAAATTGTTGCAATTTTTTTTTGAAAAATTTAGTTTTTAGTACGGTAAGTTCCAGCAATTTGTCTTAAGACACAATACCATGCACCACTAGTTTTTATATTCTATCATATTGCAAATATGTTCCAAGACTATTTCACATGTCCTTCAACCTTAAAATTCCTTTCCAAACCTTAACCAAAATACTTCCGAAACAGGTTTCGCGCACCGAAAACGTCTCTTGCATTAAATTTCATTGTCACAGAGTTGCCCTATACGCCGCCGATACGTCTATATTCACATGTCCGGTCTCATCGTTATAGAAATTTTGTATGTGTGCGCTAATTAGACTGTGACTATGTATTAGTACTCATTTCGAACGATTCGAAGTTATCGTACAGTGTTATGAACGAAGGCGCCGAGAGCGCATGTGTAAAAGACGTTTCCAATTCGAATTGCAATTGGAGAATTTGAAAATTGTGCAGGAATAAAAATTAAAGTGATAGAAGATTTACAGTCGTCAGTGGCAAAAAATATTTAGTAATAAATAAAATTATAATATGTGTCTAATTGTGTAAATATTTTGATCGATTTTATATAATTATTTTGATGGAACCAAGTGCTAGGGGTTGGACACCCAAAGATTTGAAGCCATTTTTTCATAAAGCATGTATAAAGACAAGTAACCTTAAATTTTCACTCTCTAATCATAAACCCCTATTTCACAAAAATCAGGATTATTTTTTTCTATCTCGATTTCTGTCCGAGATTTTTTGAACTTTAGAAGCTCAACTTCACATGAAAAATTAATATCATCAAGGATTTCCCAACTTTTACACTTTTTCAATGTATAGGATCAATTTTCTTATTTTTTTATATTCATATTTATTTAAGATTTTTACACATGTTCAACTTATAATCAAGCTGCAAACCGTTGTTTAAATTATATGTAACTATTATTGCGTGAAACTTCTTTAAAGATAAAGACTTATATCCCTTTTAACCCCAAAATGAGAACTTTTTCAAAAATTGCAAAAAAACATTCCTGCAGTGATGAATTAGCTGTGAATTTAATTAAAGATTTCAGAATAGTTTTTTGTTTGGTATATGTAATATAACGACAATTTTGTTCAGATTTTTGATTATTCTTGTGACCGGGTAAGACAGTAAGATATAAAATTCAGATTGCAATTATCCAAATCTATTTATTTAAAATTGTGCGATAATAAAATTATTTGTTTGTGATAGTAAATATGAATATTCACAGATACATAAAGGCTCTTTATAAATTATACAAATTTTATTTGTTTATAACTCGATCAAAAGTTCTTTGATGTTCCAATTGAAAATAATAGAATAATAAATATCTAGCTCACCATCGATGTTTCGAAGTTTATGATGTTTATGATGTAATTTTTTTTTTTAAATTGCCTATTAAAATTAAATAATATTTGTGTTAGGATTTTGCAAAGAATCAAGGCTCAAAGTGTTGAAATTAATGTCAAAAAATTCATTCTTATTCAAATTTATGAAGTTCACAAAAAACTATATAAATATTGCAAAAATGGTAAAAATAATGTTATTTTCCGTGTGAATTTTATATATCATTAATCGTAATCTACTTATCAAAAATATTAAAATAATATAACTCTGCTCACTTATTTTCATTCTTTTTCATATTTGTTCGGTAAAATATGATAAAATATTTTTTTTCTACAGCAAAGGTTTTCCGAATTTGAAAATCATTTATACCATTAGAAACAATAAAGAACTAATTATATTAAGATGAATCCTACAAATCCTTATTTATCAAACAACAAAACAAATATACATTTTAGAACAATCATCCAATTACAATAAATTCTAGCAATCATCAAATTTTTAAACGTCTAACTCTTTTAATTATTTTACATTAATGATGGCAGGTGACATGATTATACAAAACTCAAATTTTCAAGTGAGGAAGTTGTAAGTGTTATTTCAGTTCTAGTGTTTTTGTGAAAATTTACATGAGCAGAATTATTCAAGAGTTTAAACTGTATGACCTTTGTTTAAGTGCCATCGACGAGGACAAGCAAAATATTTAAGGTAAATTTTGGTGAAATTAAGAATAATATTTGTATATCGCAAGCCTAGAGAAAATCAGTTAGAATATAGTTAGAAACTTTGATATAATTGTCATGTTCCATAATAATTTAGAAAAAAACTGGTAATGCCAGTTGGGTAATTTTCTTCTACATATGAATATAATAAGGAAATAATTCATAAAAAATTAAATATTCAAAATAATTTAATATGATATTCATTAATACTGAACAATTTAATAACGTAGCAAAAGAATTTTTCGAAACAAGAGAAAAATTTGAAAAAGAAATTTAAAAACCTATTTAGAGTCTACTCATAATTAAAAGTCAATTTTCATTTCTCCTGAGATATATATTTTATACTCACATGATCAATCAGAAAAATATTGGTTATTCAAATTTTGCTTAAAATTGATAAAAGTATCGTTTTATCAAATATTCAGAAATGACGTCTTTAATATTCATATCTAACATTTCGAAAATAGCATTTAGACGAGGCCGCGCTATTGAGAAGTAGGAACAAGTCTTTTATGATATAACGTCATGTAATTATAAATATATTAGAAACAAAATAAATTCAATCAAAATGTATTGATTAGCAATATTGTTGCTTTCATCATCATCATTGTATTATATTTAAATTATGCATAGTAGAGGAGCCAGGGTAAGGAAACAGAGTCAAAAAATTATATAAATTTGTCAATTTTGTATTAATTATGAAAAAGATATTATCCAACTGTGTGTTTCAAAAAGAGATAATGTCAGTGCGTTTATTTATTGCTTCTCCATTATGTAGTTGAATAAAACAACCTTCAGCAAAACGTCTCTTAAATAAATTTTCTTCAAAATGAAGGATGATCGGGATTAAAAATTCTAGACTATGCTTTAAATTTTTTACGTGATTTGTCAATGTAGTTTTAAACAGCTCAGGATTTTGGAAAATAGCGTTCAAATAAATTTTTGCTAGTTTTCCCCATATATATTAAATGACAATCCGAGCAGTTGGTTTGATAAGCCAGAAAAATGATTTTGTTCTGGTAAAAAAAATATACTCAGCATGTCTTTTTTCTACAACTCAAACTATAGATTTAAATAATTTAAATAAGACAAGAGAGTTGTAAATAAAAATTCAAACATATTTTTGATCCTTCAACCAGAGGTGAAGCATAGTACCTATACTATGCTTATTAAATTATCAGATTGTTATTATTATTACATTGTTTACTAGGCACTCTATTATTACAAAGAAAAATGGCATTACAATATCACACATATGAGTTATTGAAGTAATAAATTACTAAAGAATCTCTATGTCGGATATTAAATCATAATTACCATGTCCTTGACTAACTTGTAAGTAATAAATGCAAAACATATCATTGCAGGGCTAGGATGTCAGTATAAATCCAACAATATTATTAACACACAATTAGCATGCAAATTAAATATTGAATACAATTATCGAACCGGAAAAATCTAATAATAAAATTAAAATGAACAGACTGTAAATATATTCATTTAACGGATGCAGTAATGAATTTAATTTTAGTGTTCATATTTTTTTGTCAATATAGAAAATTTATGCGCGGACTTTAATATAAAATCGATAATAAACTTTGATACGGTATGCAGGAATTAAATAACTCATGAGCTTATTAAAATGCTTTAGTAATCCACCTTTTGTCACGTTTGATGAAAAATCATGGAAAATTGGATATTGGAATGGAAATTGTTCATCATGATAAATTGAAGATTGTCAATGATCATAAGACGAGTTCTTTCGTTGATTTCAGATATTTATCCGTATATGAGTTATGTATATTTTTTCTAGTAACAAATATTTATATAGCTGTTCTTGCAAAAATTTTGCTTATTACACTTGGGTGTCATTTTCATTAAATCACGCCATGGTGTGCTATTAAATTTCAAACAAATGAGTCAAATGTGCGACGTAACATCAAAATAAACAAAACCTAGAATTTCACTGTTGAGAAGACCTTGACCTCAAATTCGACCGCAGTAATTCGTTAATAAGCGAATAATGAAAGTTACCTCAATGGTCGTGTTTCGCAACTCTAATTTGCGAATTATAATTCCAGAAACTTTCAATATTTGCTTTGTTATATATTTATTCAATTAATAATATTTAAAACAATGTCTCGTAAGAAAATTATGCTTTGGATGATAAACATTTTGCACGGTGTGAAGAAATTATTAGATTTTTATGAAAGGCAGGATCAGCAATTTTGGAGGCACCGAGAAACCAATTTTTGATTTTTCTATATTTCTATATATTATTGCATTATTTTGATTTCGGCTTCTACAAATATAATTTAATTTATGATCTGTAACGAAAGTTGCAGATTACAGATCTAATGGTTGTGATTTGTATTGGGTCAAATAAAAAGTTAGTTTCGTTTATTTAGTGAAACTCAACAAGTTTTTATCTAGGGTGCAAATAAATGTATTCAAACTAAATATGCTTCATTAACACTTACGGGACGGCACTGATTTCAAGACAATCTACTTTACCGGCTGTAAACTTGAATTCATTGTGTATGTTATGCAATTTGTTTGATGAAAATTTGTGGTCATTGAAGAAGGACACACATTTATAATATTAATTTATTTTTGATCATTTTGTAAAGAATGGTGATGTTCAAAACAATTTCCAAAATGCATAGCTGGTTGATTTTTATGTGTTTTTCAATAAAATGTTGTACGCCGCCTTTCTCCTGGTGCTTTTCTGTCGCATTTAGAATATGCCACTGATTAGTCAGTATATGTGTTCACTTTTGTGCTTTCATAATAGTTTGTTTTATCTATTATATTGTCTAATAATTCATTTGTAAAATATAAAGTAAAACAATCTATTGAAACTCATCTTCACTACTGCTTAATTCACAAAATTTTCCAGTCATTTTGCCATAAGCTCGGTCGTTTTAAATATTAAAAACAGACTATATAGAAAAGACAAGAATACTACTAAAATAAGTTAAAATTATTTTCAAATTACAACACTGTTTATCACTGCTATATGTAATTTATTTAACTTTTCGATGCAAACTGAGTCATTGTTTATAAAATGACCTGCGCCTCACAGAGTATGTTTGTCCACTTAGGTGGACAACCGGCCCCAAAGAGTTAATATCGACAATGTTTTGCTATTTTTCGAGTGGAGCCATGATGCTCTCGGTGAAAAATTTCTGTGGTTGAAAAACTGCAATTGCAAGTTCTTCTTAAAATTAGTTTAAGTCCATTAAGATCATAACAAATGTTAGTCAGAAGGGTACTATGCCTGGATGCATAAAAATTTCTCGGCTAAGCTTTCTCAACTTTTGGCAGGTCATCAAATAAGTATATAGACGAGCTTTGTCACCATGGAAAACAATATCTTCAATTGAGGCCGTTTTCTTTGAATTGTTTGGTGTAATTTCTCTATTTATTTGCAGTAGGATTGAAAATTGATAATGATGTTTGATCTGACCAACTGGCTCACGATTGACGATTTCCTTCCAGCATCACCTTTTTCAGTGTCATTACTGACTTGTAAAGGTCTGTCGTCGCTCACCATCATTAAACTATGATTTTCTTACCAGTTACGAAAAAAATTAAATAGTTGGATTTAATTGCATTTCAGCAACGTGTCGAAGATGGTTCTGTCTATCTTCGCGCCGAACTTATGAAAGTCCACACATTGAGCTTCCTTTTATAATTAGCTTTATGTACTTGGTTCAAAACAGTATTCTGATCAATGGCTAGTTCCCTCCTAATGTATACAGAGCTGATTTACTTCTTCTTGCTCTGCTTTTTTAAGAATTTCATCAACTTTTTTTCTCATCAAAATTACCAGATTAAAAGCGAGCGAATCATTTTCGAGCAGCAGATTTTGACAAAGTACCTTCACCTTAAACAGCATAATTTATTTCACAAGCCTGCGCAGCGTTTTTCGCTCTATTATACTAATATTGTAAAATATAGCGATTTTTTTTTCATTAGTTTTCTCCATTTTCAAACACAAATAACTTCTCAACCACTTGACCATTTTTTTTGATTATAACATCAAAATAATGCTAGAAATGTCATCTTTCTAACGAGTTTTCACTGCAATTTGCACTTTCTAAATTTTTTGTAACTAAAGCCGCCTATCGCGGAAAACGAAACGAAATTTTTACTTTACCCAATATTACTAATTTGCGAATGGTGCCTCCAAAAAATTTTACTTTTTGTAATGTTATACATTGTCTTAATTATTAATAATTGAATAAGTATATAGGAACAAAATTATGCATATTCTGATAAAAATTTTTTCTTGTTTTGCGAACGTGTGAGGAAATAATTAGTTTTTGTGAGAGGCAGGGTCAGCAACTTCGGAGGCACCGTTTAATTGCATTATTTTGATGTTATATTCTAAAACTACAATTTGATATTCATGATGTGCATAATATTTTTAAATAAGATTTATTTCTACACAAGAAAATAAATATTCCAATAAGAAATAAAAACCAGTATTAATTATTAATTGCAGTTAGCTGCAAATAATAATTAATACTGGTTGTTTAATTACACTTAAACTTGAAAAAAAATTGCTTAAGATCTTAAATTCATATATGAAATAAACGAAAAAGTCGTTTTATCATATAATTATTAACACGTTAATCGCCATGAGGGTCATAGATGTCTAACGATTTGAAGTTATAGATGAGTCATGACAGACTTTTATGTCTGACAAATTTACCTAAAAATTTCTTGACTGATTGATAAAAATAGTTGTAACACAGAGCCATGTCAGTCATACTTGTGTGACAAAAAATTTAATGTTTTTCAGAAGTTTTGGCAAAAGGATTAATTTACAGCTTGATATAATGAAGTAAACTAAATATACTGTTCAATGAGTACTTGTTATCGTGGTATTGAAATTTTCCAGAGATTTATGACAATATCCAGTTTCAAACATTTACAATTTTGTTTCCTTTGATCCTGGAAAAGGATATCGTACCTTAT